AAACTCAATTCACACCTTGGTCCTAAATCGAACCCCCAACCCACCAATGGCATTTAAACCAAATGGGGACTTATCTTTTGTCCTAAACCCCACACTCAAAAATGGAGTTCCACCATATTAGGACAGGTCTTTGGTCCCCATTAGGACTACTGGTCTTGACAAGGTAGGTGTATACTGGAAAAGGTCCTAAATATGTAACAAAAACAAGTATAAACACACACACAAACTTGTTTTTATATCCTTGTGGGGCCCGTCCATTGACTTCCATTCATTTTTTGGTAATTTTATATCCTAACCCTGACCACCAAGTGTCGACCGTCCAGAAAACCTTTCAATTGAACTTTTCTGAGATTCCTGAAGTTGGATCTGTCAAAATTCACTCTGTTTTCCCTTTTACAGTAGTAACACTCTCAATAGAATCCACACTGATTGTCCGATCATTTGAGAGAGCAGCTGATAACGACGTCACGAGTGGAGTTTGCCATTTATGGACAATCTGTACAAATTGATATGGACAAACTCTATGGTAAAATGAAGAGTTAGAACAATGTGACAGAGGGGAAACAAAAAAAGATTAATACAATTTACAAACATGCTAACCACAAATTACATAGCCACAGAATTAGCATAGATGACAAAAAAACTGACAAATCATTCCATAAAAATAGTCTGACAAGTTAACAGACAGACCAAACTGTGTAACTAAGTACATAGTAAAGAAAACATGCAAAAGATAATGTACCTTACTAAAAAACGTAAACATAAGGGCTAACACATCATACAGGTCTAATGGTTTTTCCCCTGCAGTTGCTCTGAAATGTGTTGATTTTAATTATGAAGGGTGTGGTACGGTAGATCTCTCGTGGTCAGACTAAATCAGACTACAAAAATATTGCCCTTTTGCCTTACGTCATGGCACATGTTTCAACACAGCAAAACTTTTTACTGGAAAAGTCATTAAAGGTTGACGGAAGACTTACAGAGGAAAGTGGGCACTTTCCACTGATGGAGGCCATATGYGTCATAGAGGTGGAATCTAACTGTGAGCTGTTCTCAGGTACAAACCTGGCCAACATTTGAAGATAAATTATAGCATCTTTGGGCATACTTGTAACTTATTGTCTCTGTCTCTTTTTGATGATATAAGAGATAACATATGACTGTGTGTTCCCAATATTATTAATATGTTTAGGTGGGCACATATCAGTGCTAGTATTTACACTTTCTTACCTGAGTGTGGCTAATACATTTTTGTTTATTCTCTTAAACACATTGATTTCAAAACATTGTCTTGATATTATAATCTAAAATATATGTGTATTTATCTGTGTGATTGTGAAGCAGTGAGAAAGGGTGTTTGAAAGTAGAATAAGGACCAAAACCTTCCCACAAAATGTCTGGAAGGGTCCTCTCCCTCCTTGGATTTCTGGACCTCCTCTCTGACTACGTAAGCTACTGAGAATGTTGAGTTGGAAGGACACAGAGGGAACTGCTTGCAAATGTAATGTAAAAAAAATACATTTCATATGCATAGTTGTGAAACATTTTCCACTTATGTTGCAGCAGACACAACTGAAAGTTAAAGGAGTTACTGTTTATATAAAACTGAGAAAAAACAAGTTATTTGACAACTGTTTTCCTCTGGCTTTGCATTTGTCTTCAAAAACGTAAATTAAAGGCAAACTGAAATTATGAACCTAACTGAAGTTGTAGGCCCATTTAAGTAAGAGAAAAATATAATAAATATATGTTATAAAAAACATTTTAAACTCATCAAAAATAAACCTAATTAAATTTTAATCCTATTTTCTAAAATGACTGACAAGACACATACGTTTTATGGAGAATCCTCGGCTCCTATTAAAAAAAAACAGCATTCCAACATTCCACAGTGTGCMATATTTAGAACGATGCTGCTCCCTTCTCAAGTCTTAATATTCCAGTGCAAGTGATTGGAGAAAGTGTAATGAAAAGCAAAACAGTCAGCTACAYAGCTTACTTGACAAAAATGTAGGACAGGAAAGTTTATTGTGAGAATCTGGGTTTAGAGCTTCTCTGCCCCTGAAGAGATTTCTTTGTAACCAAACACTCTGTCCCAGAAACCCATATCTTTGCCACCATACTTTAGCTGCTGTATGATCTGCTCTGACAGACTGACAGGAGAAATGGATTGATTTATGATTCTGATCACACAGCCAATGGAATGACTGTCTTGGCGTTCTGCCTCTTGGGAACTGCTGTGTGCATGTAGACTGATGTCAGACAGCAACAACMCTGCCAGTCTCTTATCGGCCAGTCAACATTCCTCCGAGATGAGAACAGTAAAGGGGAGCCTGGATCAGACAGTGGACTTGCTGGAAATCAGATAAAAACAAAGCTATATTGAATGTAATGTCAGAAAACTATCCTATCCTCTGTGGCCAGAAAACTGAGCGATATACAGTATGTACCGGTACTTGGTCGGTCAGTAAGGGCAGACAGAGCCGTGCGATTTTACCACTTTGTATCCTGCACCAAACAACAGAGTCATTATAGACTTTCAGTTGGATATATAATCATGCAGCCATTAACGCTGACTTTGTACCTCTGTAAACCTTTAAAAGTCAACTTAATATGTTGTAACAATATTTTAGGATCAAAAATACACAATCCTGAAGCTGARTTTAGGTTATCGCATTTTTACTCCAGTGGATGCAGAGTAACAAAGCACTTTGATTTCATATTGCCCTATTTCTAGCTGCTGTTCTTTCTATAGTAAAGGCAACTGAAGCCTAATGTTACTAATTATCGCTCACTGCTGAAAGCAAAAAGGAACGATTATTCACATTCAGATGTGGAGAAGTGTGTCGAGAGCTAAATTACCTAGTGGCATAAAGAGGTCTGAATGTATAGACATCATCAGCAAGCACTGCTACGTTTTGCAATTAGATATTATACACACAAAAAGTAAGCTCAAATGCATTCAAATGAGAGAGTTATGCAACTTCTCTCAAACAGCATATTTGAATAAATTAAAATTAGCATTTATTGAAGGAATGCATATCGCTCCCATCTTGCATGTTGGTGTTTTAAACAAGGACCTATGATATATTAGCACTTGGAAGATGTGTTGAGGACAAATCTTAGCTAATATCTCAAATTACCTCAAATTGTAACTGAGTATCTATAATTAAATGAGTTATCTTTTCTAAATTTGATTTGGTGATTCATGAAATATTTTGCAAACAGACAAGCAGGTTGAGTGCAACACATAAAGTCAAACTTTTAAACAAAGATACTGAGCCATCCATTAGAGGTCAGATAACTGATTTCTGAAAGTTTCATTCAAACCGATTCCTTAGTTGATGAAATAATTTGCTAAAAAATAGATAAAACACACATACACAAACTGACAATTAAAGGATCACCCTCTTTTTATGTTAGCGAGTGCAAAAAACATTACTAGCTTGCACATTGCTGATACTGCAGCCGATATGTAGCCAGCTGGGTAAAGTCTGTCCTAAATCTGAAATGTTTTAAGGACTTACTGATGACAGCTGTGCCATTCCCAGGTATGACGCGGCCTGTTAGGCATGAAGTCGGCTGTGCCCTTATTCTTCACCCTCTGTGGAAATCGCAGCAGGACCCTTACATCATAGTCAGAGGTCTCAGGGCTGTAGGCAGAGCTGAATGATGGACACATGCGTGAAAAGAAAAAAAAAGAAAAGAAAAAGAAAAAAATGAACAATCTCAAATGACCGCTTAAAGAATGCGGTACGTCTGTTTCTCATAAGCAAGACAAAGAGTTAAAAAAGGAGCAGAACTGGAAGGCTATGAGGCAGGAGCATATCTACTAAATAATTCATTCCACAGACTATAGCCATCTCCAAACACACTGTTTCAACATAGAGAGAGAAAACAGAATGAGGTACACATTCTGTTGTATAATTCACCTTTTTGAGAGGAAAAGGAGGCATAACCTCAAGTTCACAACCACTGAAGATGTAAGCCATTCATCTTGTGACTTTTGTTGACATTGGAGTGTATGGCAAAATTACAACAGCCCATCTGCGGGTGATTGCAGCAAACTCAGGCAGGATATAAAAGGGCTTTGAGGGATGGGTATGCTTCTGATGGGAAGAGGGCAAATAGAGCACCCACAGGGACAACGCATTTCCATCATTTCAGTGGTGTCCTTAGTGCAGAGGCAGTCAAAGTACCCAGGCCTGAGGCTCAGGGGAGGGTTTCCTCCAACACAGAGAAATGAAAGAAAGGACAGCCTTCATCCCTGAAAGTGACCAGGATTTAGTTCACTAAAGTTGTATGGTTAGGCAACTTTTCTGAATATTTCTTTTAGATGTTGTTGAACACAGGGGGGATTTTAGGACAACAATGTTGAAAAGTTCATTCATGTTTAAATGCTGCTCAAATGTGTATAAACTTAATCACATTTTAGTTCTGTGCAAAAGGATCCTTATTTATGATCTAAATTCCAAAAGGTACAACACTGACATCCTTCATAAATAGATCAATATGCATATTATTCTATTCCATTCCTTAAAATTTAAGACTCAAAAACTCAATATTGTTTGAGGTTAACACCAGCAAATTATTTAATTTGGCAACCCAAACCATATACAATATGGCAAGGTTGTTATCAATAAGTAAAAACAAGTTTATTATGTTATAACCATTGTAAAAGTGTATATGTTATTAACAAGTAGTCAAGGACAATCAGAGTTAGGTTTACCTTGACAGACATTTTTCCTCTGCAGCACAGCGAAGAGAGTACATGTGGGCTCTCTGGATATATGTGGAAGCTTGGACATAGTTAGGATCAGGAACCAGATCTGGCAAACCTGGAAATAAATTTAAATTAATAATAATAATAATAAACTTTGGAAAGCACATTCATCCTAATGTATTGCTCACCCAGTATTTTATTTCTCAATTCCCAGATCTGCTTTAGGAAAAAAAGGGGAAAAAACATCCCGAAAAATACCTTAAATATACATGTACTTTATCACTGAAAGTCTTCCAAAGTCAACAGCATCGGTTTGGGTGTTCACGTATTTGTCATCATTATTTGTGATCTGTGAAATTTGTTGCTGATGATGGAGAATGTGAAGGGCAACAGATCAGCAACGAGGCCCACAGTTCAGGTCTGGTACACACTGTTGGACACTGATTACTTTGCATTTCAGGGTTTTATCATCACTTTTTAATAAGACATGTTGGGTTCCTAAAAATTAAGTGGATAAAAAAAGAGAACAAGGCTGTAATTTCCATTTTTTGCTTGGGGAAAAAAAATCCCACGAACAAAATGGAACCACTGTGGTAATAAAAAGATTTTTTGTACAATGTGACATTGCATTGTAGAAATCCTAACTTGTCATCATTATGTCATTTCTTACATAATAAAAAGACAACGCATATGTGATAAGCTTCTTTTGTACACAAAAAAACTATATAACACAAGGGCCTCTTGTCACGTAGCTTCAGTTTTAACATTTTAATTTCAGCAAACAAATGATAGAGTACACACTATTTTTAAAGGTCTTATCGGAGTGAATGTCTGCATTTCTTTAATATTTCCATAAAAGGCTAAACCAATAAGGGTCTCTGATATGGCTTATCACAACAGTGGCCAGACACAGTCTAATGTGAATTTGTTCAAACCAACTGACCTATAAATCTAGAAATTTTAAAGTAAAAAACAAGATTTTCCCCACATTTGTTTTATTCTTGTAATAACGTATTGAAAATACTTTTATTATTCAGTGAAGTCATTTTCTTAAATTCTTCTTGAAAAAAAAAAAACAGAGCGAAAACATCCTCCTACATCTGTCTGACATTTACCACCCAGGTGAGTCTTCCCCCCACAGCTGCTAGTTTAAATATGGGCTTTCTCTCTGTGGGCACTGTGCAAACATCCAATCTCACATGTCTATCTGAGGCAGATGTACGGGACAGGGGGAAGCGTCTTGGAGCAGACCATGTAAACACTGTAAACCAGTGTGAAACACAGAGGTTTCCAAGCATCACTCTCAATCC